CATGCACTAGATCTAGATTTCTAGATCTAATTCTCCAGCGTTTTTACGGCAATTTTCATGCGGTTTTATTGTCTTTGCGTTTACCGTGTTTCAATTTCAAGCATCAGCGTTCCTAATCTTACTGTTCTGAGCATCAAAGATCTAGATCTAAGCGATCTTCCATCATGTCCAAGTACTAGATCTAGGACATCCGAAATGTTACCGAAAGTACGTCATTCCTTGCGGTACCTCCACGGCCTTCTTAAAATAGTCTTTGGGTATCCCAGGAAGTGATGCCATCATATTACTAAAATTAGCAGCCAATCAGAAAGATGCGTCTTTTACGTTTAACGGCATGTTTCCAGGGGGGCCTGCTCCACTGGGATAAAAGAAAATCTGGGGGGGTTACAGGGGGCTTTTAACCCATAATTTGATATTTTACAAGTTAGATGTGAAATTTTCTTGAAAATAATTGATTTACGACAATTTTAGTGGCTTTATGCATGATCTGCAGCAAACAGTCTCCAGTTTGACCCCCGAAGCAGTACATCTGTGTGAGGGAGTGAAAGTAAAAATTTACCCATGCGACTAAACATAGAACAACACAAACTATTTTTAGGTAAGGCAGCCATCTTCTGTGACGTCAGACCGGGATACCCTTCCAATCACGTGACTAGGCCTACATGATCCAAACATAGCTAACCGCATGGCGCCAGAGGCCATCGTATGTACCTACCATGGCACGACGTTTGGTGCAATGTTTTTCCAGGAGACCAGTAATATGATATGATGCAGTGCTCCCATGATGCTGCTGCTTATCTCCTGCGCATTCTTCATCGGGCGCGGGGGGGGAGGTAATCTCCGGGCGTCTCTGCGGCAATTTTAGCGCGTTATTGTCTTTGCCTTTACCGTGTTTCAATTTCAAGCATCAGCGTTCTTACTGTTCTGGGCATCAACGATCTAAGCGTACTTCTATCACCAGAGCATGGCTGACACGCTGCAGTTACCCGCAAGTGTGAAATTTTAGCGTGCGTAACGCATCGATACGGATAATAGGTCAAGCCACTGACCCAACATGTCGTCCCATGCAGTATCTCCAAAGATCGTGTAGTGTGTAGTGTAGTAGAGAATCTTTGGTAACTCCACGGCCTTATAAAATAGTCTGTGGGTATCCCAGGAAGTGATGACATTACATTACTAAAATTAGCAGCCAATCAGGATGATGCGGTGTTCTACGTTTAGTCGCATGTGATCTAAATGGCATGGGCATGGAAGGTAAAATTACCCCTTTGGAGTGAGCCCTGGCCTCCTGTCGATGTTACCAATACCATGCCCCTCTGCCTGAGCTCCTGAGAGACTTAGCTAGATATTTCCAACATTCATGTGATCGTCAGAATCACATTGACATTACAGCATATAATATAATATAGGCCGGCTCTATTTCTCCGAACGCTCAGGGAAAATAAACTTGAACTCTGTTTCTCCGAACGGTTTCCACTCTCGAGATTTTTTTAGACTTTGCGAATGGAGTGGCTCTCGTGCACACGTGTGTGTGTGTGTGTGAGTTCGTGTGCATGTATGAGTGAGTGTTGGTGTGTGTGTGTGTGCGTGTGTGTGTGTGTATGTTATAAAGTGTGAACGAGGCATGGAGGGATTTTATCTTTGTTTACATGAAGGATTTTAGTGTTTGCTTTAGGGGTGACTTCTCGCAGTACCTTTTGAAGGCATTTTCAAATGAAATATACTAGTCCGGGAACGTTGCCCCAACCACATCTGAAGCATCTGAATATTCAGACATTTAAAAATCTCTTGATCTAGATCTAACTCTAGAAATTGAATTCGATGCAAAAAATGCTTCTTCCCAGTCTTCACAGAATGGCAGAATGAAAGATGACGCCTAAATCTCGCAAATAACCAAAACATCTCGAGAACGGAAACCGTTAGGACAAATAGAGATCAAGTTTATTTTCCCGAGCGTTCGGAGAAATAGTCACTTTGTATGATATATATTCTAGTTGGGGCAACTTCGACAGGTTTGTGTAGTGCGGCAAAAGTAATCGATACTGCTCCCGCCTTTATGAAAGAACACAGACCATCTTGGTCTAGATTCTAGTCTTGTAAAGCAGCCTATCTACTTCTTGATTATTTTGTTCTTTACGCTATTTGCATTCCGAATTTTCAACCAATCGCTATTTTGTGGCATGGCATACCCTCAATTAGGGCAACTTCGACAGGGGTTGGTGCAGATTAAAATCGACCGCCCGCATGGGGCAACTTCAACAGGGGCTGTGGGCAACTTCGACAGGAGGCGGATCTTCAACAGTATTGGCTCTTATTCAACTTACTGTGTGTGTCGTCGTCCCCCCCCCCCCCCCCCCGCTCTCTCTGTCTCTGTCTCTCTGTCTCTCTCTCTTTCTCTCTCTCTCTCTCTCCTCTCTCTCTCTCTCTCTCAAATCATTTCTCTGCTGAATTCTCTTTCTATTTCGTTTGTTATACACAACTGATAAATATTTTCCTGCAGGAAAAACGGTGTGTATAAGAAAGTAAATGACGGATGAAGTACCGATTTTTTTCTTCAAGAGCGAAAAGTACATGGTGACGGAGCGCCAACATCGGATGGGAGTTTTCTGGAGCATTTTGACTAAAAATAGAAACAAGTGGAACCCTAAGAGGCACAGGTTTTATTTTTAGATAGAATCAAATGTGCAACGAATAAAAGTGGGCTTTGATAATTCCATGACACGGGTCAAGTGATACGCAAAAGCCAAGTCTAGGTTGAGACGGTAGAAGTTGTCCCGTGGCCGAATTTTCCCAAACCTACCCTAGCCATCATTCTTTTATAATTACTATTCTTACTATGGTGAAAATGATAGCAAGCTTTATACTTTGTAAAGAGATTAATTGAATTCTTGTTGTCATAAATAAGGTTTTTTTACTTCAAGAGCTAATGCAGTTCTATGAAAATGTAAAATGCTTCATGAACATTGATGGTATGGAAGATTTTTGTCTTTTAATGTTTTCTGAAAGCCTGAGGTTTACTGAAATATTTCATCTTGGGAAAACTTTTTTTTTTCTTTCAGCATCTGACTCCATTAGAATTGAGGAGGGAGAAAGAGACAATGTCTTTTCTGAGACAAAGCAGGAAGGTGTTGAGCTCAGTGACTCACTGTGTATCTCAGTACTTAGCTGGGTCAAGCGTTGCTGTCAACACAGCCAGACCAACAGTTTTATCCACGTTTAGCACACTTTGCCACAGACTGCAGCACCCCGTACAAGCACTGGCCGCACAGCCAAGTCATAATGGTCAGCATAGTAAGTGTTTGGACTAAGCAAAGCTTGGTTGGTGGCAGCTGAATGCTGCCTGCTCCTTCTATTTCTTTTCAGTGTTTCTCTCCGCTAAATCTCATCTGTTCCTTGAAAAATGTCGTTGTTATGTGATTTTAATATAAGCTACAACTGAAATGCAATACAACAGAGTCCACTTTAACTGAAATGTGTGGTACTGCTGGATTTTCTTTGGTTTAGCGGGATTTTCAGTTTAAAGAGGGTTGTACCAGTAGTGATGACTGTCGACAAGGTAGAGTTGGAATGCCATGCTTACAGCAAGTTCCATTTTTTAAAAACTTTTTCACTCATCTACCTCTTTCAGTAACTGTACTTTGAGCTGTAGGCTGTACATATTGTGTTTTGCATTTAACATTGTCAGCTTGCTTATTCTGCCAAACAGTCACAAAGAGCAAATGAAAGAGTAGATGGAGAAGTGAGAAAGAAAGCCCAGTGCCAGTGACATCACGAAACACACCAAGTGTCGTCACAAGCTAATGTGTAGGACCAATGTGAACCAACTAGGCAGAGAACAACAGGCCATGACCAACTGAAGGTCTCACGATAAATGTGCATTTGCTGTCCTTGCGTCATTAGGCTTAAATGCAGTGAGGAGGCTTAATGAAGAACTGACGAATTTAGGCAAGCAGTACTTTGGCAATGCCTCTTTCTTGTCGGCAATCAACACACATGTGCTCTTGTGTCTCTTTCTTCCCTTTTGCCACCCTGAAGCACATATGACTTGATGATTTGCATAACTTTAGGGTTTCTAGTGAATATTTAGATGATATAATCGCCGAAATTCTTTTTGGTTAGAAGTGGAGCGGTTGACGATAATCTATTCTTCGGCACTTATATGACCTTATTGTGTTGCAAGTGCCGTAAAACTCTTACTTAAACTAAACTAAGAAGTGGAGCGTTTTAGGTATTCTATAGTTTTTTGTCAAAGACAAAAAAGGGCAAATCCGTGATTTTAAAAAAAAGAAATTTTTATCTACCCTTGTTTTTCAAGTGTCCATATCTCCACTGTATTTCCAATATTTCAAACATGTCTTTTTTGTGTCCTCGTGTGTTTAAAAATATCTGTTGATTGTATTTGCTTTGGTGTTTTTTTAACTGCATTTGTTTTGTATAATATAAAGATTTGCTTATCAAGTACTTTGGGGTGCTGTTGATGGGTAGATTTTTTTAGTCTTGTTTAGTGGACTGAAAGAAGTATGATGCATTTTGGGTTTATTCTTCTGAAGAGGGATATTATTGACAGTTCCTTTTAGATTCTTTCTTTTATTTAATGCCTCCGTACTCTTATTTCTCTTCTCTCACTTGCAAAACTCCATTGCTTCTGTTTTATATCTATAGGCATTTGGAGCCAATATCCATTCAAAATTGAATCCTGTAAAAGTTTAATAGGTTGTCCTCCTCACAAGTAAAAAGAAAATGTTTGCTGACCCTGTCTATATTTGTGCAATGTATTCAATTGTAGTTCTAGGGTGGTGGTTTGTGTTTGCTGAGATGCGGTCTGCCTCTTCTTCTCCTTTTCAATCTTACTATTGCCTTTTTGTCTTCCAAACTTCCTAATGAATGCAGGTTACAAATGCGATCTGTTGCACAAAAGCATGCTGTTTGAATCCATGTGGGGTCCACATTATTTTTTCTCATGGGGCCCCTAATATTATTTCCCTAAAAAGACTTGTTTTTTAAAGGAAATTATTTCCTCTTTAAAACAAGTCTTTTTATTGAAATGTGGTTATACACTAGTTATTAAGTTGTCGTGGTTATACACTAGTTATTAAGTTGTCGCGGTTTATACACTAGTTATTAAGTTGTCGCGATTAATTTAATAGCCCTCCCCCCATTGCTCAATGCCATTGTTTTGAAAACACCAATTTCACTGTTAAATCTGGCCCAAAATAGAAAGCAGGAAGGTGTGTTTTATATACTGTACCGGTATACATCATAGCCATGGAAGTTGGTTCATATAGTGCCTGTGAGTTTTTTAAATACTGTATCTATTTTTCAGGTGCGCTGATATCAAGGTCTCTATTGCAGAATATTAGACGCTGTGAATTTGCTCCTCAGAGATCAATCTCCTTAGAGTACATGCACAGAAAAGGTAAGCTGCAGCTTTGTAAAGTACCTTTTCAAAGGTTATGAGTCAAAGCTTGTCACTCTCTTGAATTCAGCACTGCCGATGTTGTGATCTCTGTTGAATTGAGTAACCTTATAGCCATATACAGAGATGCCAACCAGTACGATTTTACGTATTTTAGTACGATTTTTTGCCCAAAATACGCGAATACGACTTTTCAGGAAAAAATACGCATCCTGGAATGCGAAAAATACGAGATTCAGCTTGGGCGAGTAAACCTAATTATCTCAAGTCCCATCTTTTAAAATAGTATCAGTATCGCAGAACTGGAATATTTGAAAACAAAGTCCGATACAGTCAGTAAGTTCATTTTAGCCGGTCGTCATCGTGATATTATATTCGTTCAGCTTTTCCCCGTCCGGGGAGTACGTTTCACTTTCACGCGTATAGGCAGCTATGGCGGCAGGCGGAAGCGTATGTGACACCGAGGTTTGATTGGGAAAATCAAGATCTACTTTCGCTTTCACCAAGAAGTTTGCCAGCAGTTGTCTGATAACGCAACATTTGTGGCATGCAGGTTGTGCAGTATAAACGCAATGTCGCCGTGCAAATAAAATGTAATAAACACTCGGACTCGTCGCTTTGGCTGTTGCTTGTGGAAAGAAAAAAAAAGAAAAGAAAATACAAGCATCGTCCGATTTTTAGATTGTCTGGCTCGCCATCGTGACCGGTCACTGAACCTGAGCACATTCATAAAAAAATGCGGCATCGTGTGAGTAAAGACCGTCTTTGGTGGGAGTAATGGACGCTGCGAAGTATATGACTACAGAATAGGGGAGAAGATTATTGATTTTTTGGGGTTTAAGGCAACACCAGAGGACAAAAACTTGGAAGCGCATTTCAGAATTTTGATTAGAGCTTTCTGCTAAGCGCGCGTTGGTGCAGGCCGTGTGCGGAATCGGGACCCCTCATACTTTGCAGGTCTGTGTTATTGAAATAAAGTGTTCGCGTTTCATTTGATGGGTGGAAGTAATTATACCTACTGGGATGGGTGATAGTAAATTATACCTACATCTACTTGGATGGGTGATAGTAAATTGTACCTACGGTGTATGTTGTAGCTTTCTGTTCAAGACTGGCAGATTTTCAGTGTCACTGCGTCTTGCCCTCCCACAGTTGTTACAACTCTCACAGTGCACGGGTCTACTTGAGCCTTTCAAGTTATTGCTGTTCTCTGAGTTTGAGCAATAATTTGAGTCTGTCAGTTCATAAATGAATCATGACACCCGGACTGGTTCTTGATAGTCGAAATTCTTGTTCTAGGCCCTTCCGAACTCTCAAAGCAGGATTTATTTTTTATATAATAATGAGAGGAAAATATATAACAGATTGAAATACTTAAGTCAAACAAGACCCCTGTACAACATTGAACACTGACATGTTGTTGACTGCATACATATATATTGTAAGCGTTTGTGCTCCCTTTTTCGTGCTGGTGAGCTAGTAATTTTTACTATTACTAGTTGGTCGGTCGTGGGGAATACACATTTTCCCCTGAAAATACACATTTTCATATTTCCCAATACTCATTTCGGTTTTCTGTGGTTGGCATCTCTGCATATATGTCACAACAGGATGGACTCAGAAGTGTGTCAATTTTGGGGCAGATGGAGCTATTGATTCTGTGGAACTTGGATTCAATTAAATTGAAGGCCACGCCAGACAACTTCGCTGAATCCGAGTTCCACTGTATCATCTTAAAGCTTGTTTTTGTCTTGCTTTTGATGAAAAAAATCTTTAGGGAGATAAAATACTCGAAAAAAATTGCAGTCAAGCTTGAGAGTCCTTAGACACTGCAAATCTGCTTTTTCTTTGTGTCTTTGATCACCATTTTTCAATAACATCCGCATAGAAATGTCTTTTTAAAGAGACAAAAGGTGTTGAGCCAAAAAAAGAAAAGAAAAATGGGTTAAAATTGTCCAACGGGTGGAAAAATGTTGGTTCTTCGATTTCATTATATTATTTTGAAGAGAACCTGATTTCACCGCAGTGCCACACATATATGAATGTAAGGTGGAGCTGCCATGAGAAGGCTTATAAATTACTACAAAGTAAACAATACTGTGTCATTTATAGCTACACTGTAAGTACATGTAATCACATATTCATGAACTTTTTGATTGGCTTTTAATTTTAAGTGAAGTTTTTCTTTATCTGAAAGTGTCACATTTGATAATGTTCTTTTTCTACAACGTCTTGAAGAAGATTTAAGTGTGAACCAGTGACGGAGTGCTTTCAATTAAATGCAATCTGTGATCTGCCCCCATCTGGGTTTTTCGTCATCATTGTATTACAATTGTCCTAGTCTCTACATGGTAAAAACGTGACAATTAACATGTAGACTAGCTACACGATTATGAATTGAGCTTCATTATACGGTCTATTACACTCAAAGCAAAATTGAAGGAACACGGAAATCTTTTCGTTGTGTAAGATAAAAAATTTTGCTCTGTGGGTGTTTTAAATATAAAGAATTGACACGGAAGAAAACATTCTGAACCATAGGCTGTACCCTTAACGACACTGACAATAGATTTGATTCCTTACGATTTGAACTTTTCCAAAAGCAATATCAGTATTCAAAATGTGTTTTTGGAATTTCAGAAAATGGACACAGTGGACTGGTTAGTGTCGATGGAAGTCTCAAATGATGTGCACCGTTCTTATGTTCCTTTAATTTTATTTGGGTTTTGATTCTTGCAACAGTACAGAATTTAGAAGGGAAAAAAATGCAACTTGACTAGGTTCTAGCTCAAAGTGGTGATAGTTTCTTCCAATCAGATACCAAACAGTCTGATACAGGGTACCACTGATAAAACTGATGTCTTTCTTGATCTGCTATTTCTTCTATGGTTTTTAACCACTTTTGAGTGCTAAGTGATTGTTTTTGTGTTATTGTACTTTCTCTTTTACCTTTACTCAGTAATGAATGACTCTGGTGGAGTCTGTTCCTTCTACTTTTTCACTTTTGTCCGAGTTTCATAATGTGTGGCTGTTCTGTACTGAAACCTGACCACAGGCCGCAAATGATGTGCTACTCGGTGTACAGCACATTTTTCTTGAACTTCACACTTATGAGTCTTTTCCACTTTTTCTATTCTCCTACACATTGTACGACTTTAAGTTCAAAAGTCCCCTTGATTGTTTATGTCCTCCCAGGACTCTACAAGAAGGAAAGAAGGAAGAAGAATTCTCCTCTGGAAGGAAGACCCCAACTAAAAGGAGTGGTTCTGAAGACTCTGATCAAGAAACCCAAGAAGCCGAACTCTGCCAACAGGAAGTGCGTGAAGCTGCGTCTGAGCACGGGGAAGGAGGCCATCGCGTACGTGCCCGGGGAGGGTCACAACCTGCAGGAGCACAACATTGTCCTGGTGCAGGGCGGCAAGCTGCAGGACACGCCAGGGGTCAAGCTCGTCTGTATCCGAGGCAAATACGATTTGCCGCTGGTGAAGAAGAAATTGTAAAGAGACAGCAGAGATATATTATTATATGTGTCACAGCGTGGTGGAATCGGGCGCTCGCCAATTTTGGGCTTGTGGAACGATTGGTATCAACTAAAAGCTTATTCATTTGCCGTACTTTCAATGAAAAAAATACCCATCTATCTTGAATTCCATAACTTGAGAGTCCTTTAAAGGTGAAAAATAACATATTTTGTGCCTTTCATCCCCGTTTTTCAGTCAAATTCACACGAAAATGTGTTTTATATGAACATAAAAGGTGTTGAGCCAAAAAACAAAATTTCAAGAAAAATTTCCAAACTGGCAGAAAAATGCTAGTTTCTTCGATTTCAGTATTTTGACGTGCGCCTGATTTCACCACGATGCCTCACATATATAGAGCGACATATCGCGCCCTTGGAATGGCAGGGTTATAACTCCACATTCTGCGAGACCTGAGTTACACACGACACATTACTGACACAGATGCCCTGTACACTGTGTCAAAGTTCAAAGGCTCGAGATAATTCTGACCTGCATTCTTATTTGGTTTTGACGTTCAACAAATAAGTAGTAGTAAAAACATTTTATTTTGTAAGAGTGTGAATCTTTGAGTCCCATTTTCCTAAAACTATACATCATGAGATTACAACCCTGTCATTCTAAGGGCACAATATGTACACAGAGCGTTGCTTGAGAAGAAGAAATTATAATGGAAGAGCCGAGGTATGTCTATATCTACATATGAAGTGTGCGCAAAAGAAATTGTAGAGAAAGAGCCCGTGAGATATATTAGACTGTCCCCGTCGTTTTATGCAAGAAAAATTTTGAAATTATGCAAACTGAGCCCAAAAATGTGAAATTATGCGATTCTGTTAATTTTACCAAAGAATGATAAAGGAAAATAATCAGAAATTATGCTCAGAATTATCAAATTTTGCTAAATTATGCGGGGTGCATAAAACCACAGGGACAGATTAGATAGTGTATGTTCTAATTGTGGATCTGGAAGACATGGGTCAACTCTTTTGTTGAGAAAGGAATTTTTCCATGATGTATGGTTTGTTTGATGAAGGTGCGGTGAAGAATATGTAAATGGTTCCATCGAACTTGAACAGTTCTACGTGAGGAATGGCAGTGTGATTGAAGTTCCTATTTTTTGGTACTGTTATAAGGATTTTGTTCAAGTTAAAAAGTGACTAAACATCACTTTTCTTTTTCTCTATTCATATGCACGAAGGTGAATGTTTTCAGCCGGTCCATTGTAAATGTAAAATCTGTACGGATAATAATACTTTGTTTTGTGTATGCTTGGAAATGGTTTAGTCGTGCAAGCTACGTGATTAAATGAAGGCTGTTTTCTGCATACTGTTATTTGGTGTATCCTTAACTTGTCCTCCAATGTGTGTTGCTTCAGTCTATACTGCTTTTACTTTTACATTGTTGGTGTACTTGTCTTTGCCTCTATATGTCACTCCCGTGTGGTTCCATAGACTGTATTGTTTGAGTCTGGTCTCAGGGGCGGGTGAGGAGGGTATTATTTCTCTGTCTGTCTCTCTCTCTCTCTCTCTCTCTCTCTCTCTCTCTCTTTCTTTCTTTCTTTCTCTCCTTCCTTTTCTGTCTCTCTGTCTTGCTCCTCCCCCACCACCCCACCACCCTTTTCCCCTCCTTCCCAGACTGGCATCTGTGCTGCAGCGGCTTGGCACTTTGGCGCCCGGCAGGCACCGGAGATCCACCTCGTTCGGAGGTGCTGATTCCCTGGGCCCCGATTCGGTACCGAAAGTGATAATGAAAGTGGGTGGTTTGCAGGTGCTTTGGTGTGGTCCTTTCAAAAATCTATTGTTTTATCTCCCCTCCTTCTTTTTTAAGTTTGATACTCCCTTGTAACACCTCTAATCTTCTGGCGTTCATATGACCTTATGCAGTTAGTTGCGAGTGCTGTAAAACCTCTACTAAAACAAAACAAAACTTTGGCATCACACACAGGAGACCTGAGTTTTATTTCATAATGTGAATTTTTATCGAGTGTATCGTCTGTCTTCCTGCTGGGGTGTTGCAGTCCTCTCAACTCAGGTTGGCCGTGACAAACACGGTTAAAGCCTTCCTCCCAGTCCCAGGTTATACAAATTGTGTTGATGGGGGCATGAATGAAAACACCTACTAAGTGGGTGGTTAGCGAGTGCTCTGGTGTGGTTTGCTCCTTCTTTCCTATCGAATATCTGTTGTCCTTATCTCTCCTCCTTTTTTGTGTATGTTACTCTCTTGCAATACATCTATTCTTCGGCACTTATATAACCTTATTGTGTTGCAAGTGCCGTAAAACTTTTACTAAAACTAAAAAGCTAAAAACACGTGGGTTTTTTTAATGTAACCTTCCTCTCCCAACAAGAAAAAGATTGTTGTGTTTCAGCAGTGTCATGTCAGAATCAGTTCTCGTAATAACCTAATGTTAAGGAAAAAAAATCTTGGAAACAGAAAAGTGGGAAGACTTAGAAATTGAAATAACATCTAGAGGCTAGCCCAGGAAAGACAAAGGTAGAAAGTGCTTGTTCGTGGTCTGTACCCTGGTGCAGAAGACTTAGAAATTGAAATAACATCTAGAGGCTAGCCCAGGAAAGACAAAGGTAGAAAGTGCTTGTTCGTGGTCTGTACCCTGGTGCAGGGTGAGAAAGGCAATGATGATGTATATTGATATTGATAATGTGTTCAAAGTGCATAAGTAATAATGGCGGATGAGAGCTTGTTTTTGAACTCACTTGAGTTGATCTTTGGTGGACTTCGGATGAGTTGATCCTTTTTTCACTCCCTCAACGGCATCAACTCATCCGTAGTCAACTACAACTAATGGAACAGATCAAATCAAAAGTCGTCAAATCACCAAAAAATCACTCACATTTGCTTTTTTGTTATTTTGAAAAATTTGTTCAAGGAGGGGGGTTTGTAATTTACTAAATTTATTGTTTTTGTATTGTTTTGCATTCACCCTCTACATAAATTTTCTTGTATTGTTCTGGAAAAGCTGTGCTCTGTTAGGCCTCAGGTTTGAGTAACCTGAGTCATTTGTTTAAGGTTACCACTTTAAGAAAGTACCAGATGGACATATGTAGTGTAGCTGTCGCATGCAGGAGACCCGAATTCAATTTCTGAGTGGGGAGGACATTTTTATCGAGTATCTCAGTGTTTCTGCTGGGATATTGTACATTTATTCCTCTCAGCCTGGGCTGGCCCTGACAGGCAAGGTCGGAAGCCAGCCTCTTTAATGATCTAAATGATATCAATAGTGGTGTAAAAACAAACTCGTTAAAAATAAAGTACCAGTACTAAAAGGACATTGCCATTTATTTTCCTGAAGTAGCCTCGTGGTCAAATTATAGTAACGTCGTGGTCCGTTGATTCTACTGTGGTAGCATCATAATCGAATTATTCTCCTGTAAAAAGCCTTGCGCTCAGGTTATTCTTCAGTAATAATAGTACATCATGTATAAGAAGTAGCCTCGTGGTCAGAACCATGGTCGAGTCGTCGTACCGTCCTCTGTGGTCGGCACGTCTGGGAGCGTCTGATTACCCTGCTGGGAACCTGGTGGTCAAGTACACCTTGCCGTTCGTCTTGAACATGTCCTGCATTTTATAGAAGCCCAGAGTCTTGCATTCATCCAGGGTTTTCCCGCCGTACACCAGGACCTGCTGACATTCGAGGGTACCCCAAACCCCTCTCAGTATTTGCTTCAGATGCCACACCGTGTAGTCAGACTGAACCACTGGTCTATATTCCTTGCAGCCATTATTCAAATTCAGCACCAGTATCTGATATTTTGGGTTTGTGGGCACGATTTTCCCTTTGCATTTAGCAGGTTTTTGGGCTTTAGAGTTGGTGGAGTGTGGTAAGTTTTCTACTTTTACGCTTCCGATAACTTGACCGCCATCAACAAGCTTTTGGACTTGGGTACCGTTTCCGAAATCCTTGAAAGTTGCACTCACAACGTCAGAAACATTGTTGCCTTGCATTACTCCAGCTTTGATGACCAAACCATGTTTGGGTTGTTTGCAGTCATGGTCGCTCTCAAGACTCATGCTTAGTAGAGAGTTTCCCCTCGACCCGTAGAACCCACTGTCTGGAGACCATTTGCTTCCCTCTTTGTCTCGCTTATTCATTGCAGTATTCATAATTTTAAATGTTGTAGATCAACCGAACTTGTGAATGGAGGTGGTCACTGGTAGGTTCTATTTCTTTAGCCTCCCTTTGTTTAACACCAAGGACCGCTCTTGTGTAGAACTTAGGAGAAGTGTTTCTCTGTGTAACTCAAAACTTCTGTTGATCTGAGGAATAGAGTAATGAAACGGTTTTAAACGGGAAAGAAAATAAGTTTCCCGTGGGTTTTTTGTTTGTTTGTTGGGGTGTTTTTGTTTTTTGTTGTTGTTTTGATTTGTTTTTTGTTTGTTGTTGTTTGTTTGTTGTTGTCTTTGTTGTTGGTTGTTGTTTTTGTTTGTTTGTTTTTTTGGGGGGTGCTGCATCTAAACCTGAAAAACCCAACTCTACCGTTATTTTTTTTTTAATGCGGCTGTTCCACAGATTTCGGGTCTGGCAGACTTCACTGTAAGATCCCAATGATTTTTGTTCCCTCGTTGGTTGAATATCGACACTGCACCACTTCAACTTTGACTGGTGGCATTGTGTGCAGACCTCATCATTATATTATAACTTTACGTTGAAGCCTGTAGGCCGAAGTGGCAAGACAAGCTGCTCCTTAATTAGTGATTGGTTAATTACGTTAAAAGTTTCTGTGCATTTCATGTTCTCTAATAGTATGCCAGTACAACAAGTATAATCAAAACACATACATTTAGGTAGAGAGATAGATAGATAGATATAGCGTGCGCTACACACACACACACTCAAACAAAAAGACACACACATATATATATATATACATATATGAACACCCATTATACCGTACTAATGTATTATATACTTGTGTCCTAGTACAAATGTATAGAAATTAGAATGCACAGGCCTAGGTGTAAAATAATATTACTATATAAATAGAGATACACAATGCAAACTGTTACAGGCACACATTCAATCACACAAACACACACACACACACACACACACACACACACACCCGCAGGGAGAGAGATTTAGAAGCTAAATTTAATTATTGCCTCGTTATCTGGACGAATTTTGATTTCACATTATTTGATCACATTCTTTAACTTTAAGGAAAAAAACCACCATCAGAGGTGTTTTAGAAATGCTTTTAAACGTAGAAGATACGAGTGGGAATAAATCAGTTACTACACGACGTAATCCTCCGCTATTTAACCTCACCACAAGTAGTAAATAGTAGGCCCCTACCCTGGGGGCTCTCATGGCCTAGAAGTTAAGGTGTTCGCCTCTCATTCAAAGGTCCCGGCTTCGAATCCGGGTAACGACCGGAAAATTTTCTTCTCTAAAATTGTCTCCTTTCCTGCTCTTGAGCACTGTTCTGTCGTCTGCTTTCGTCTCCACTTTCTGCCCCCACCCCCTCACCTCCTTTTCCCCCTCTCCTGGGCTGCTGACTCTTTCTGCAGCCTTTCTACTACTACTGCTATTCCTTCTTACTGCTGTCTTTCAGCCACACTCCTGATCTTCTGGTGGGAAAGACCTACACCTAGCCTTCTCGGACAAGGGCGAAAAATCACAGATGTCCTGTGTGCAAGTTG